TGAGATCACCACTCGTGGCGGCGCTTTGATCTCCATGTCACACTGTAGCACAGCTCACTAGGTTCCCATAGGCGGTCAAAGTGGCGCTACACTATACCGATGTAATGGGGGGGGGGCTTTAGCTGGGGTTGCCGGGATTTAAGTCAGGCCATATGAGCCAATGTCTTTAGTAAACCTAATCAGTTGTAAAGGGACGGAGTGGGACTGGACTGCTAACCCGTAAGTCTCGAGTTCGAATCAGTAGACCATTACTGAGTCCACCCAGCTCTGATGGGTACCTAACGCACGTTTGGGTAAGTAAAGGTGGCTGAGGTCACATGCCGAGGTCACAAAAACAAGTGAACTCTACTTCACTTGCCCTTTACTTGGAACTTTTTTCATTAAATTATCATGTCCACACGCAGGGCAACTTACAGCATTGGCTCGGCGTACCTTACTACTGTGTGAGAGGCTGTTAACATTGCAGATATCCCATGTTGTGTGTGTGTAATTAGTGGCGGATTGTGGTCAGAGGGCGACCACGTCAGTGAGTGGGAGAAAGTCACGTGATGTGGTCAGCTTTGGCACGGGTCACTCGAGAGTTTAAAATAGTTGAGTGCAGTCCAGCGTGTGTCAACAGGCGGGCTGGGCTACATCATGCGTCTTGGTGCTATTTCTTTCTTATGGCTCGGTGTGTGGAATGTCGCATGATGTGGTGGAATGTCACATGATGTGGTGTGTGGAACGTCACGTGATGTGGTGTGTGGAATGTCGAGTGATGTGGTGTGTGGAATGTCGAGTGATGTGGTGGAATGTCACGTGATGTGTGTGGAATGTCACGTGATGTGTGGAATGTCACGTGATGTGTGGAATGTCACGTGATGTGGTGGAATGTCACGTGATGTGTGTGGAATGTCACGTGATGTGTGGAATGTCACGTGATGTGGTGGAATGTCACGTGATGTGGTGGAATGTCACGTGATGTGTGAAATGTCACGTGATGTTGTGGAATGTCACGTGATGTGGTGGAATGTCACGTGATGTGTGGAATGTGATGTGTGGAATGTCACGTGATGTGATGTGTGGAATGTCACATGGTGTGTGGAATGTCACGTGATGTGTGGAATGTCACGTGGTGTGATGTGTGGAATGTCACGTGATCTGTGGAATGTTACGTGATCTGTGGAATGTGATGTGATGAATATCACGTGATGTGATGAATATCACGTGATGTGTGGAATATCACGTGATGTTTGGAGTGTCACGTGATGTGTGGAATGTCACGTGATGTGTAGAATGTCACGCTCGTATGAATGCTACTCCCTTTTCATTTCTCAAGTCCTGTGAATTTCAATCATCATATTAATTCAGCGTGAGTGAAATTCCCGCTCTTATTACACGTGCGAGCAAAAACAAAACATGTCATGTATTCGCTTGTCGAATCTTAACACTGCTCATTAGGTGTTTTTTTTTTAATTTGATGACATTACCTTCAAGGGGCTATTAGAAAAACCCAAAGTACAATATCGTAGCCGTAGAATAACTTGTTTAGCCAACTTGTGCTGGCCATGTTTAGCCAACTTGTGCTGGCCATGTTTAGCCGACTTGTGCTGGCCATGTTTAGCCGACTTGTGCTGGCCATGTTTAGCCAACTTGTGCTGGCCATGTTTAGCCAACTTGTGCTGGCCATGTTTAGCCAACTTGTGCTGGCCATGTTTAGCCAACTTGTGCTGGCCATGTTTAGCCAACTTGTGCTGGCCATGTTTAGCCGACTTGTGCTGGCCATGTTTAGCCAACTTGTGCTGGCCATGTTTAGCCAACTTGTGCTGGCCATGTTTAGCCAACTTGTGCTGGCCATGTTTAGCCGACTTGTGCTGGCCATGTTTAGCCAACTTGTGCTGGCCATGTTTAGCCAACTTGTGCTGGCCAAGTTTAGCCGACGAAGCTTGTGCTGGCCAAGTTTAGCCAACTTGTGCTGGCCACGTTTAGCCAACTTGTGCTGGCCATGTTTAGCCAACTTGTGCTGGCCATGTTTAGCCGACTTGTGCTGGCCATGTTTAGCCAACTTGTGCTGGCCATGTTTAGCCAACTTGTGCTGGCCATGTTTAGCCAACTTGTGCTGGCCATGTTTAGCCAACTTGTGCTGGCCATGTTTAGCCAACTTGTGCTGGCCATGTTTAGCCAACTTGTGCTGGCCATGTTTAGCCAACTTGTGCCGGCCATGTTTAGCCAACTTGTGCCGGCCATGTTTAGCCAACTTGTGCTGGCCATGTTTAGCCAACTTGTGCTGGCCATGTTTAGCCGACGAAGCTTGTGCTGGCCATGTTTAGCCAACTTGTGCTGGCCATGTTTAGCCAACTTGTGCTGGCCATGTTTAGCCAACTTGTGCTGGCCATGTTTAGCCAACTTGTGCTGGCCATGTTTAGCCGACTTGTGCTGGCCATGTTTAGCCAACTTGTGCTGGCCATGTTTAGCCAACTTGTGCTGGCCAAGTTTAGCCGACGAAGCTTGTGCTGGCCATGTTTAGCCAACTTGTGCTGGCCATGTTTAGCCGACTTGTGCTGGCCATGTTTAGCCAACTTGTGCTGGCCATGTTTAGCCAACTTGTGCTGGCCAAGTTTAGCCAACGAAGCTTGTGCTGGCCATGTTTAGCCGACGAAGCTTGTGCTGGTCATGTTTAGCCAACTTGTGCTGGCCATGTTTAGCCGACTTGTGATGGCCAAGTTTAGCCAACTTGTGCTGGCCATGTTTAGCCAACTTGTGCTGGCCATGTTTAGCCAACTTGTGCTGGCCAAGTTTAGCCAACTTGTGCTGGCCATGTTTAGCCAACTTGTGCTGGCCATGTTTAGCCGACTTGTGCTGGCCACGTTTAGCCAACTTGTGCTGGCCACGTTTAGCCAACTTGTGCTGGCCATGTTTAGCCAACTTGTGCTGGCCAAGTTTAGCCAACTTGTGCTGGCCATGTTTAGCCAACTTGTGCTGGCCATGTTTAGCCGACGAAGCTTGTGCTGGCCATGTTTAGCCAACTTGTGCTGGCCATGTTTAGCCAACTTGTGCTGGCCATGTTTAGCCAACTTGTGCTGGCCAAGTTTAGCCAACGAAGCTTGTGCTGGCCATGTTTAGCCAACTTGTGCTGGCCATGTTTAGCCGACTTGTGATGGCCAAGTTTAGCCAACTTGTGCTGGCCATGTTTAGCCAACTTGTGCTGGCCATGTTTAGCCAACTTGTGCTGGCCAAGTTTAGCCAACTTGTGCTGGCCATGTTTAGCCAACTTGTGCTGGCCATGTTTAGCCGACTTGTGCTGGCCATGTTTAGCCAACTTGTGCTGGCCACGTTTAGCCAACTTGTGCTGGCCATGTTTAGCCGACTTGTGATGGCCAAGTTTAGCCAACTTGTGCTGGCCACGTTTAGCCAACTTGTGCTGGCCACGTTTAGCCAACTTGTGCTGGCCATGTTTAGCCAACTTGTGCTGGCCAAGTTTAGCCAACTTGTGCTGGCCATGTTTAGCCAACTTGTGCTGGCCATGTTTAGCCGACGAAGCTTGTGCTGGCCATGTTTAGCCAACTTGTGCTGGCCAAGTTTAGCCAACTTGTGCTGGCCATGTTTAGCCAACTTGTGCTGGCCATGTTTAGCCAACTTGTGCTGGCCATGTTTAGCCAACTTGTGCTGGCCATGTTTAGCCAACTTGTGCTGGCCATGTTTAGCCGACGAAGCTTGTGCTGGCCATGTTTAGCCAACTTGTGCTGGCCATGTTTAGCCAACTTGTGCTGGCCACGTTTAGCCAACTTGTGCTGGCCATATTTAGCCGACGAAGCTTGTGCTGGCCATGTTTAGCCAACTTGTGCTGGCCATGTTTAGCCAACTTGTGCTGGCCATGTTTAGCCAACTTGTGCTGGCCATGTTTAGCCGACTTGTGCTGGCCATGTTTAGCCAACTTGTGCTGGCCATGTTTAGCCAACGAAGCTTGTGCTGGCCATGTTTAGCCAACTTGTGCTGGCCATGTTTAGCCAACTTGTGCTGGCCAAGTTTAGCCAACTTGTGCTGGCCATGTTTAGCCAACTTGTGCTGGCCATGTTTAGCCGACTTGTGCTGGCCACGTTTAGCCAACTTGTGCTGGCCACGTTTAGCCAACTTGTGCTGGCCATGTTTAGCCAACTTGTGCTGGCCAAGTTTAGCCAACTTGTGCTGGCCATGTTTAGCCAACTTGTGCTGGCCATGTTTAGCCGACGAAGCTTGTGCTGGCCATGTTTAGCCAACTTGTGCTGGCCAAGTTTAGCCAACTTGTGCTGGCCATGTTTAGCCAACTTGTGCTGGCCATGTTTAGCCAACTTGTGCTGGCCATGTTTAGCCGACGAAGCTTGTTGGACTCTGATTTTATTTGCCGGGCTCTCGGATAATAAAAAATTAATTCCGAATCTCCCCCCGATTTACAGGCTAGAATGTTTCTCAAATGCCACATCAATCACGCAATGTTTTGCTGGCCGCCAACAAAATGGCCACATGGGAGTGGCCCCCGTCCCAGGCTCGCTAGCTCCACTAAGCCCGAGATTTGTATGCAAAACATTTCTTTAGGCTTGAAATTCTTCAGACGTTGTCTGCAAGAAACGGAGTGACCACGGAAATGAATGCTGCCAGCAGCGGCTTGCTTCTGCGGTAGATGGACATCTCTGGGGAGGGGGAGGGGGGGTGAGTTTAATTCGATTGGAGAGACAACTGCAGATCTAGGTGAATCACGATTAGGGAGGGGAAGGGGGTGGGGGCGGCACATGCAAACTTATCCGTTGTGTGATGGAATGGGTATTGAAAACGAAATGAGACTTTAATTCTTCATGTGGAACAATTTGAGGAAATGGCAGGGTTGAGATGGGACGGTGTGTGGTGGAGATGTGTAGACCGTCGTGTCTGAGTGGGTTTCTTTCTGCTGCGTTTCTTTTGTCTTGTTCCGCTGTATTTTAACGATGTTTTGTGTTTGTTTTGTTTCGTTGTATTTTAACGATGTTTTATTTTTTGTTTTCTTCCAGAACGGAGAAGTCAACCGACCAGGTTATAAAGCCAGTCAATATAGAAGCTTTATCAAAGTGGGTGGGGGCCATACCGGAGGATGTTGTCAAAGATATGGAAAGTATAGGTGAGTCAGATGTGCACACCATCACTTCAGTTTATCTCTTAATGACTGTATTCATTCACTATGATTGACAAACATAGGCATAAACTGATAGACATGGAGTGATCTATATCTGTCTGTCTGTTTGTTGTCTGTCTGCTGTCTATATATATATATATATATATATATATATATATATATATATATATATATATATATATATATATATATTTTTTTTTTTTTAATTTTATTTATGGCTTCAGGACATTACCCCCCCCCCCCTGGACAGTCTCTCTCTCCCCCCCCCCCTCAAGTTAGAATCCTAACTCTAACTCAAATTCTATACCTATATATTACCTTAATCCTAACCTTAAAAAGACCAAAACCTAAGCATCCACCTCAGCCTGAAACTTAACACAAAACCAAAACCAAGGCTAAACATTAGTTTAAGCCTAACTGTGACACTAACCCTAGCCATAGCTATAGCCCTAACCCTAGCCCTAACCCTGTCCAGGGGGGTAATGTCCTACTGGGTGGGGGTGGTAATGCCCTGTTCCCATATATACGTATATATATATATTATGTATATATATATGTATATACATACACATACACACCCACACATATATATAGGAAAAAAATTAGTATACAGCTTTAATTGCTGCTTAATTAAGAAGGCAATAAGAATAACTGATTGTACACCCTGCACCACACGATGTACATGTTTATTCTCCAGCCCCCATGCTCAGGACACTTGGCTACGACCCCAATGCCAACCCCCCCAACTACGGCCAGCCTGACCCTGATGTGGCAGACAACACAATCCACATCAAGCAGAACTCTGACTTTTGGAAGCAGCGGGAGCTGGACGTGCTGAACGATGGGGTGGCGGATGGTCAGCAGCCCCAGGCGGCGCCAGCCGCGGAGGCCAGTTCTCACACAGGCGAAAAAGTTTCTGTTAAAGAAGGACATGTGGACAGATGATGAAAGTTGTTTTCTTTTTTTTTTTATCTCCAGACAAGAATGTGGTGCTCAAATTGTGAATGATTCATTTTTTTTTTTTTTTTTTTGCTTCTCTGGTACTTTTCTGTTGAACTAGACCAGTGTTTAGAATTTGGTTAAGGGGATAGATGGGGGGTAGGGTTTGCTAGTTATGATGCTATCAAATCAACTCCATTGTTTTGTTGTCTAGTTTATACAGGCAAGTACCATTTGTTGTATTATCACTCATTGTTTATGATTTCAGTTGCTCGATCAAGACATATTGTATCACAATTTGTTTGAACTTGTCATTTTTTGGTGAAGACTTGACTGTATCACATATCGGTTAAACTTGTTATTTCTTGGTCATGAGTCCAATGTGTTACCATTTTTTAATGATGTCATTTCTTTGTCAAGATTAAAATGTATCTCCAAGGTTGTTGGCTGATAATATCTTGTCATAATTTACTGCCTAAAATAGAATCTTTTTTTTAGTTGCCGTTTTAAGCAAAACATTCTAACAGATACACTTTGGACTGACTGACATACTTTGTACTGACAGACACAATTTGGACTTACAGATATACTTATTAATGACAGACATACTTTGGACTGACAGACATACTAGCTGCTTTAGCTACCTGGAACAACCTATGTTATAGGTCAAAACACAAGGCCTTAGTGTTGGTTCTGATCACTTGTTTATGATGGTAGAGCTGGTCACTTGATTCTGAAACTGTTCACTTAATTCTGAAACTGGTCAATTCATTCTGAAACTGAGCACTTGATTCTGAAACTGGTCACTTGATTCTGAAACTGTTCACTTGATTCTGAAACTGGTCACTTGATTCTGAAACTGGTCAATTCATTCTGAAACTGAGCACTTCATTCTGAAACTGAGCACTTCATTCTGAAACTGGCCACTTGATTCTTAAACTGATCACTTGATTCTGAAACTGGTAACTTGATTCTGAAACTGGTCACTTGATTCTGAAACTGGTCAATTCATTCTGAAACTGAGCACTTCATTCTGATACTGGCCACTTATTCTTAAACTGTTCACTTGATTCTGAAACTGGTCACTGATATCTAGCACCAAATCCGCTCTTTAGCATCCATCATATTGTGCAGTAACTTAGAACTTGAATGATGTAAATCATGTAAGCCCCTGTTTGCTTCCACTGTCTGTACTACATATATAACATGAACAAAAGATAAGAAGAATCAGTTTGAACAACACAGCTAAGATTTATACCATAGACAATTTTACAAGCACTGATCTAGTTTGACTGTACAACACGACCAGGTATAATCTGGCTGAGATTCTCATACCAAATTGATTTACAGTCATCTCTAGTTGTTTTTTTTCTGCTGGGGTTGGCAGGCATAGAACAGCGCAGCAATAAATTTCTCCCCCCCCCCCCCCCCCCCCAGACACTTTTATTCTGCCAGTCTTTTGTTTAAGCCAGCTTTGACATAAAAACTGGCAGGCTTTTTTATTGATCAAATTATTTTTTCTAAATTAATGTTTTAGCCTCTGGTGGCGCTGGCAGTGTAAACATCTGTTAGACATGTCTGGTGGCGTTGTTGTTGGGTGCTGGACATCATAGGGTCTAGGTTAGTTGACATCCAATGACACATCATAGGTTCAGGCTGGTTGACATCAAATGACACATAGGTCTAGGCTAGTTGACATCTGTAGGTCCAGGCTAGTTGACATCAAATGACACATCATAGGTCCAGGCTAGTTGACATCCAATGACACATCATAGGTCCAGGCTAGTTGACATCCAGTGACACATAGTTTTAGGTTGCTTGACATCATAGGTCTAGGCTAGTTGACATCTGTAGGTCCAGGCTAGTTGACATCAAATGACACATCATAGGTCCAGGCTAGTTGACATCCAATGACACATCATAGGTCCAGGCTAGTTGACATCTAGTGACACATCATAGGTCCAGGCTAGTTGACATCCAATGACACATCATAGGTCCAGGCTAGTTGACATCTAGTGACATATCATAAGGTTCAGGCTAGTTGACATATGTAGGTCCAGGCTAGTTGACATCCAATGACACATCATAGCTCCAGGCTAGTTGACATCTAATGACATATCATAGGTCCAGGCTAGTTGACATCTAATGACACATCATAGGTCCAGGCTAGTTGACATCCAATGACACATCATAGGTCCAGGCTAGTTGACATCCAATGACGCAACTTAGGCCCACACAACTTAGGCCCACACAACTTAGGCCCACACAACTTAGGCCCTCACAACTTAGGCCCTCACAACTTAGGCCCACACAACTTAGGCCGACAGATCTTAGATCCACTAGTTAGACAAACAACATTGTTAATGTCTGTTGCCATGGAGATTTGTTGCTTATATCATTTCCACTGTTTCAGTCCAGCAGAATGTAGAGAGAGGACTACATAAATATTGTATCACTAAATACCAAAGGCTCAAGGGAAATCAGTGCAATGTTTATCTTGGTCTTAGCCAGTTGATCTCTGCCATAGGTCTAGATAGGCAACCTACTGGCTGGCAGGTTAGCCTGTGCCATAGGTCTAGATGTAAACCTGGCTAGATAGATGGGTAGGCTACCTTAGGTGACTGTTGGGCTACCTCCTGTCAAGTGACTGTTTTGGCTACCCAGGGCTATAGGTATGCAAACTGCCTCCCGTCATCCACATTCAACTGTTAAAATTACCAGAAAAAGTTGGTTATGTGATTACATGAGAAGTATTAATAAAGAATGATATAACAATGACTGTTTTGTATGTCAGTCATATAACGGTGTGTCTGGACATGATATACATTCTGATGTTATGTTGACAGTTTTATTATTTATAGATGTGTGGGGAATACATATAGGTTTTATGTCTGATACATAATACAATGTTTTTGTTTATATCAATTATGTATATTAATTTATGAAATATAAAACTATGTTATTGATATATGCTATATTTTATCTTTTCCCTCTACCATCCATTATTTTGTCATCAATTACCTTTCCCATCCTACACTTTCTCTATATATTAGCCTATTATTCTCTATCTTTCTGTCCCTGATCTTTCCCCCATACGATCCCTCACTTTCCCTATAGCATCCCACACTTTCCCTATAGCATCCCTCACTTTCCCTATACCATCCCTCACTTTCCCTATAGCATCCCTCACTTTCCCTATAGCATCCCTCACTTTCCCTATAGCATCCCTCACTTTCCCTATACCATCCCTCACTTTCCCTATACCATCCCTCAATTTCCCTATACCATCCCTCGCTTTCCCTATACCATCGCTCGCTTTCCCTATACCATCCCTCACTTTCCCTATACCATCCCTCAATTTCCCTATAGCATCCCTCACTTTCCCTATACCATCCCTCACTTTCCCTATACCATCCCTCAATTTCCCTATACCATCCCTCACTTTCCCTATACCATCCCTCGCTTTCCCTATAACCCTAACCCTATCCGTGACCTCTAATTTCTCTAACCCATATTTAGCATCTTGATTTAATCATAAAATGGATCGTTTTATTTATTATCCACCTTACAAACGTATCCAAGTTTGTTGATTTAGTTATGTGATGATTGTGTCAGGACAAACCTCACTAAACATTTGATCCACAGTTTCCTGGCTATGTTTGGGGGATTGATTTTTCTAGACTTGATGTAGCTTTAATTTCTTTAATTTTACATGCGTTAACCAAAGCTTTTAACCACATTATTCAATATACACAGCAGTCTGCATTTTTTTTTTTAAAGTCAGAAGGATGTAATCTGGTCACTGCAGTTATACCCAACTAATTCCTTTTTTTTTAAACTTGTGCATCTAGAGGGATTCACTTGAGTTGTTGTGTTAAGTGTAAGCCTGGCATCAATGGTACATTGTGTCAGTGACATGACAGCAGGTGTTGTAAGCCTGGCATCAATGGTACATTGTGTCAGTGACATGACAGCAGGTGTTGGGTTAGGTGATTCCCGGTGGAGCTACTGGGACTATTCTTTTGGTGTATTTTATGTACATAGACTTAAGTCACTTAACATTCATATAGATATGTTTGTTATAATATACACATGTATATGATACAGTTATATATATATATATGTATATATATATATATGTATATATATACATATATATATATATATATATATTTATATAATATTTATGTGTGTATATATGTAAAAATTTATATTATACATATGTTGGTATAATATACATATATATACACACATATATATATATACATTTTACACCTATATATATATCTATGTATATATGTGTATATATATATAATATATGTGCTTATACACATGTATATATACATCTATATGTATATATATATATATATATATATATATGTGTGTGTGTATGTGTGCATATATACATGTATAAATACATCTATACATATGTATGTGTATATATATAAATCCAAACATGAATCCATCTCTAGCGTGCTCTAAACCATCTAAATGCTAACCATGTCCCTATGTCCATGCACAACTTTCTGTTATTCTGGGATCTGTACCACTGTTTTTTGTTGTTGTTGATTGAAAATACAATGTTTCTATACTAGTGATTGATTCATGATGTTTTATCTCATTAATATGATGGTATGTTTGATCTTAGGGTGGATGTGATTTGCCTTTGAATTATAAATGTTGTTTGCCTGATGATATGGAAATTATTGTTGAATGGATCTAATAAGTAAATAATTTATCTTAACTTTATAGTGTTCTGTTTTTGTTCAGTTTAAAAAGTAATTACACTTTAATAAAACACTGACAGTGGGCAGCTGTTTTACTGGAAACACTTCAGATATTTTTGTTTGGATTCTGTGCTGCCACATATTATCAGAAGAATAAGTAAGTCAACAGGTCATGTTAGTATACTCACTAATTAAAGAAGTTTACAGATACAGATATTTTAACCCAAGCAGATTTTGGCCAGCCACCTTAAGTAGGTCCATAGGTCACAACTGACCAGTAATGTAATAATGGACTGGACATTACAGACCAGTGATGTAATAATGGACTGGGCCATTGATATGAGCTTCTAACTACCATGGAAACCAAACTTCCATTATCGAGAGCTCAATAATGCGATCAGCTTGTATAGACGAGTCGACCACACCCCTTAACCTGACCCCCCCCCCCCCCCCCCCCAGCGTTCTCCCCCTCCCCGGGGACCACGAGAGTAAAACCCTATGAACGTTTGATCCGTTGATCACACGATGATTGATTTCTTTGATTGCCCCCACCCTCCCTCCAGCCCCCCCCCCCTCCCCCCTTACCGCTATCACAGCAATGAACTCCCCACGAGCAATACTTATTTTTCCCAGCAAGAGAACTCCCCCACACGAACCTACCACACACATTACCCCTGAATGCCAATTTCATACGTTGCCATGGTTACGGGACAAATGAAGCTTAGACCACCGCGTAATTGCCATGATTTACCTACAGTCGTATGCAGTGTTTGTTGGGGGTCGGGAATAATAAAACAATCTCCTGCCCGCCGGGGTGGAGAAATGGACCGTTCATTGTTGCTTCTGATGACCGCGGAGTTGTAACACGGTCCTCATTGAAATGTTGAATGCCTTGACGGGATATGTTGCGACTTGGGTGCATGTTGTTAAAGGTTTGATACAATCTTTATCTCGCGTTGGGAAATTCCGAATAGTAATTTATTTGGTGTCGGGGGTAATTTTTTTTCTGTTGCAATCTGCATCTATATGTTTGATGTTTTGAAAGTTCGATTGCTATGCTCCAAATGATGTTTCGGAGTTGTATTGCATTCTGTATCTGATGTTTGATGTTTCAAAAGTTCTATTGCTTTGCTCTAAACGATGTATTGGAGTTGTATTGCAATCTGTATCTGATGTTCATGTTTTAAAAGTTCTATTGCTATGCTCCAAATGATGTTTCGGAGTTGTATTGCAATCTGTATCTGATGTTTGATCTTATTCAATGATCTATTTCAATGTTAGTTTA